GTTGAGCGAGAACAGATAAATATAATTAAAATTCAGTCACCCAATTTTTCTGATCAAGTTAGAAGTCTAAAGGATCAAAGTCTTTCGAACTATTATTAGTCCCTTCCTTCCATTTTTGTCTCTGTTTCTAGAAACAATAAATAATCTAGTAATACTGGTAACTAGAGTTACTGCAATATGTAGAAGCTGTTGATTATGAGATTTATTGTATTCATTTACTATCTCAAAGATTTACGTTGAGATTTGTGTATTGTAAGTGCACCAGCATATACTAAAAGAATATCTATTTTTTTTCTTATTTATTCAAATTACAACTATGTAATACTTCATATTCAAGATTTGTAAGTTTTGATAGTTAAATAAGAAAAGTAAAATATCATCAACTTATTACTTTTTCTCACATATTACATAAGTTTTACTTATTCCCTAACATATTGCTTGTTTATCCATTTTCCATTTTAACTTCACGTAGGTTAAGTTATAGTAATCGCAAAAAAATCGAAAATATTTTTTTTTATATATCTTTACGTTTCAAAGGCTTTTGAAAATTTTGGCATACCTTAAAAAAATGTATGTATGTGTGTGTGTATGTATGTGTGTGTGTGCGGATACAAATTTTCGTCACCGATTTCGGGAACACCGATCAACCGATTATAACAATTAAAAAAGCATTCGATTCGTATTGATAAGGGGACGTGCTGATCAGTTTTTGGCAAAGGAAGGTCTAGCCGTTCCGAAGATACGAGTAAAAAGTTTTTAAGAGAACGGTTATGGACTCTCAATAAACAATAAGTGAAAAATGTGATTTGGCGGTCAAATATGTTTATTGGACATATGTACATCAAATTATCAGATATTTTATAGAGATTTTAATAATGTATACACATTTTGTATAATTTTTGTTGAGTTCCGTATCTACATTTTTCATTACGGTACAGAAAGTTCTAGCAATTTGCCTAAATATACGATGCACCCCACTAGTTATTACTTTTTTTTCTACGTCAATGAATTTTTTACCCGAAAGCACAAGGTGCACAGAGTCAAAGTCCTTATTTTTCTTTTTCGGTACAGAGATACAGTCCGATTTTAGTAAAAATTAGCTCTAGTAAATACTAGGCTCACTTTTTTCTGTATAGCATAGGAAATGCATTTATGCATCATAGGCTGGTTTTTTCTATAGGTATGTCGGACACAATACCGCCTTTGTATAATAGCTAGTAGTAACCGCCGAAAAGGCATTACTATGTTGGGGGAGGATCTAGAATGTCATAATTCTTGCACTAAAATTATTCTTATAATTCGCTCTTTCTCTTTCCATATATCGCAGGTCAACTTGCACTTATCTCGCAAATGTGTCTATGGCGTTCCAAGCAGGCTCAGCTGTTACTGGGTGTATCTACTAATTTGTAATCAACTTTGTCAATATTCTCTGCTTAATGTAATACTATATACACATTACAAAATAAAAATAAATATTTTTTTTTTAAATCTGACAAAACTAGGTATAATTATTCAAACTGGTAAGCCGGCTAACAAAATAAGTATTGACATTTCAAAACAAAATATATTTTCTATATTCATAGAATTAAAAATAAACTTTTTTGTTATCCCTGACGTTTATTCAAACCGACGCCTGCCATATCGGTAGCTATGACTACGCGCTTGCGTGCATGCACCTCTTGAGTCTCGATATCGCTCTGTCGGTCCTCGTAGCGCCCGCCAGCCTCGAAGGAAGGAGGCGAGGCTCCACGGATTCCCGCCGTCCTGGAAAATCCTATCTCTGGGCGTCGGCCCTTTCGCGGCATCATCAGTCACCCCGTTCGCAGTGCAACAATTCATAGAATCATCATTTATCCAATGACTTTCGGTCAATCGTGACATGTCATGTCATTTTCAGCAGCCGCCTGCGTCTGACATCGGTCACTGGTGACCGCCTGCGCCGTGCCGCAAAAGCGTGCGCGTGGAGCGTGGTCGTCTCCGGACTAAGACGGTTTGTGTTAGTTCGCGTCACGCTACGTAATCACGAGCACGGCGCGATGTAGTGGTGGTGTCATCAATTGTTAATGACGACATGTCATTGTTAATGACGAACGAGTTGTAATAGTTAGTGTTGGAAAGTTCAAAGTGTCTGTGTAGTTAGTTTTCGGAAGTAACTTAGAAAATTATTATTTTTAATAAAACAGATTAATTAAAATAAATTTAAATAAATTAAAAAAAAATCTTCAAAAATTTGCATTATTTTGGTAATATTTTGTAATATTATACTTTTAACATACAACCAATGGTGGCTTAAGATTAATTAAATTTGCATTTTTTTGTAAAAATTAAATAAATAAAATTAGCTTAATATAGGGTCGAACAAGGTTTGAAGGTCCGTGGGTAAAAAGGTCCACCACCTATATCTCAAAAAAATTCAAATCAGGATTTTTTTTAACATGACTATTTAAAAGTGAAGGGCAAAAGTTGAATAGCCAGCCACCACCTTAGTTCTTACGACGTTGATATCAGGAGATAAACGGCAACGTTTAAAAATCCATAACAAAAGTTTTGGTGTTTCGTTGTTAGTTTCTGGATTATGAGGATTGTTGTTAAGTTTACGAGACCTTAATATAATTTTCGAGTATACATTATTTAATCATTGTTTTTAAGTTAGATTCAATACACGTTTTGTATAATCTTCGTAATACCTAAGATGTGGGTGGGGTGAAATGGACCAACTGAACCTTTTTCCTGGAAAACATGTAAACAATAAAAAAATAGTAAATAAAAAGGTGAATTAGGTTGAAGAAAGCAATTTTACAATAGATAATTTGAATGAATTAATAGTTACCAGAACTCTACTGATGAATATTTCTAACAAAATTTCAGATCAATTTTATACAAGTACATTTTCATAGGTTGAACACGTTAGTTATTATTTCGTAAAATTTATTTTAAATTAAAAATAAAACAGTTTACATATTTTTGTTTAATGGCCTTCTTTTTTTATGCAGATTATATGGTAAATTATGACAAATTTAAAAAATATAACTGCGAAACTGATTTCTATAATTAGTAATTATCTTAGAGTTTTACTAATCCTTAATCGACAGTTAGTTTTATGATACGTTGTGTTGTGATGCAGTATAAAAATCTGTTTAAAATACATATTTCATGGACATATTTTTGAAAGATTGATTCATCGTTAGAGTTGCAATATGTACTAATTTAATCTATATTTTTCAAAATTGTCTTTTTAGCTTATTTCACGTTTTTATTTACTGTTTTCGCATTTTACATTACAAATAAGGTAAATACCAATTATGTTTAAAATACATATTTCATGGGCACATTTTTTATAAATATCACGCTCAACCTTCAAAAAAACTACGTAAGAACAACTCATTGAAACTTAGAGTTTCAATATCTACTAGTTTAATCTATATACAGTAAAATTGTCTTCTTAGCTTATTGCACGTTTTTATTTAGTATTTTCTCATTGTTTACATCTTACCAGTGTTAAGTTTTAGGCGGTCCTCTTTATTTCTACCACATTTAAGATAGCCTATTCTAGAGCTTTCAATATCAACCATATTTAAGCTAACCTATTCTAGAGATTTTAATCCCAACCACATTTAAGCTAACCTATTCTAGAGCTTTTAATCCCAACCACATTTAAGCTAACCTATTCTAGAGCTTTTTATCCCAACCACACTTAAGGCATCTTATTCCAGAGCTTTTTATCTCAACCACATTTAAAATAACCTATTTTAGAGCTATTTATCCCAACCACATTTTAGCTAACCTATTCTAAAGCTTTTTAACCCAACCACACTTCAGCCAACTTATTCCAGAGCTTTTTATCCTGACCAAATTTAAGCTAACCTCTTCTAAAGTTTTTAACCCCAACCACATTTAAACTAACCTATTTTAGAGCTTGTTATCCTAACCATATTTAAGCTAACCATGTTCTAAAGCTAGAGATTATATAAAAAAACTCTTGGACTTAACTTAGAAGTTACTATACATATTAAGTATCGTGAACTAAATAAGACTGGTTAGGACGATAAAAAAACTAACAGGAAGAAAAATACTATCGTCATGAAGTTGACAATGAGGACGTTCTTCCTCTATAACAAGGTTGCCCAATTCAAGATGATTAATGAAAGTTGATTATATAGATATTACTTGCATTTTATATATTGTTTGTGGACTTTTTCTCCCGCGAACCTTTAAACCCCACTCTACCCTACAATAAACAATTTATACCGTTCTGCAAGAGACAATAACAGTTTCACTTGAAATAGCAGTAAATTACATGCTTTGGCTGCTATGTATATTGAATTTTTGTGCTCGAAAAGACACATACAATTCTGTAAGCATATCTAATGTTAAATGATTTCTCTACAGGGATACAGTTTCTGTAAAGGGAAATTCAAGATCCGGTAGTACTATTCTTAGACTAATATAAACATGATATGTTATAAATTAATTTATCTAAACGCTCGTGCTGGAGAGAAAATTAACAAATTCAGTTTGGAATGGTTTCATAGTAAAATATTGATGTGTTCATGAGGATTGTAAATATAGAATAACTCATAATAGACCCTTGTCGAAGTTTGTTGAATATTCATAAAATACTACCTACTATAAATATACCAATAACCAGTTAGTGCAAGAGATTAATATGTGCCTAGTTGTAGAATAAAATTCCAGTGTACGTAATTTAAAAAAAGTCATGCTGTACAATTAACCATTATATCATAATCCAATTACAACAATTTCCCACGATGTTAATGCGTTATTTTACTGTCGCTGTAATGGCCCTATTTTTGACGCGCGTCAATTCAACTGGACGGGGAAGTCCTAAAGTTCGGTTGCGCGATAAACAGGAACTGCATGTGGGTTTATTGGTTCCCCATACAAGTTTTGGAGTTCGTGAATATATCCGAGCAGTTAATTCTGCAATTCTCAGTTTGCAGAAAGGTAGAGGTCCTAGGCTAAAGTTTTTGGACGCTTTCGAAATCACGCCCAAAATGGTGCACCTGGAAATGATGACGTTGACGCCTAGCCCAACAGGTAATTGATAGATAAATGATAATAATCAATCTCAAATAATATTATACATCGTTATATTGTAACAAAACCGTTAAGATTCTAAATTATATTTCAATATAAGGTCAAAGCAAAATATCAAATCTTACATTAATTTAATACCCTATGTTTATCATCCAGATTACGTAGGTAATTAGTAAATCAAGGTAAGGTGTTTCTCACCTTCAATAGATAAACACATGGTGATACTAAGCCTATTCATCTAATTAATTATATAGTGCCTGATATATATATATATATATATATATATATATATATATATATATTAATAAGGGAACTGAAGTCAGTAAAATGAGGTTCCGAAAAAAACACTGATAAATTTAGAACAAAATGTTACTTTTTACAACGAGGAAATTTTTGCTCAAAGATAATAAATACTGAATTTAAGTAACTAATCTTGATATATGGGTTATATTATATTCAGTTATACATTTTTTCATTAATATTAATAAATAAAATAGGCTATTCTGCTAACATTTAACAACAAACAATATATAATAAAAAAAAAATTAATATAAATAATAAATAAGTATGATAACGATGATAGTAATAAAAATAATAATAGTAATAACATCAATAAAATAATAATATTAATGATAAATTAATAAGACACACATAATATATACATTTTTAACTTCCCTTAGGGTAAGTTATTGTAATCGTCCAAAAACGTAATTGTAATCGTATGTATGGATACAATTTTTCGGTCACGTTTTCGGGCGCACGGATCAACCGATTTGAATGGTTCGAAAAACATTCGATTCCTATTGATGGGAAGATGTGCTAATTAGTTTTTGGTAAAAGCAGGTCCAGCAGTTACGGAGATAAAGAGCAAAGAGTACAGAAAATAGAAATCGAGGTTTTGAGAGAACGGAGCATCCGATTTGAATGATCTAATAAACATTCAATTAATAATGATTGGGAGAATGGGTTATTAGTTTTTGGCAAAGGCAGGCCCAGCCATTTCGAAGATACAGAGCTAAATGTGCAAAAAATGGCAGTTTTTGAGGAAACTAAGCGTCCGATTTAAATGATTTAAAAAACTTTATGCTTGTTTTAACAAAATAATTGATTTTGGAAAAAAAATGTAGCAAAACTTTTTTTCAATTTGTTTTTTTTAGAATTTTTTTTTTGCGAAAATAATTCAAATTTTATTTTTAATTCTGACTAAAGTTCTAAAATACTTTAAACAAATAATTTCAACTTTGCAATTCAGTTTATATAATTCTTATAAATATTAGACAATGTTACAAAATTTATAATAATCTCTCTGAAAACATTCAATATTCGAACATTTTGTTACGGTACGGAAAGTTCCAGCAATTTGCCTTAAGGCACGATGCCATACACCCCACTAGTTTTATTCACGATTTTATAACTTTTGTATTCACTGTCCATATAATCGGTAAAAAGTAGTTAAATTATTTATTAATGAAAAAGATACATATAACAAAATTGCGAATCCATAACACACCATAGAAATATATTGAATTCATTTGTTTTTTGCCACTCTAGTTTTTATGTTTCAAAATGCAATTCAAATAAAACACGTCACTATTTTATGGCTTTCCAATCATAAATTTTACGTTTAGTTTCATTTTATTTCACAAACAATTTAATTAACGACCACATAAACAACACGCTAATAAATAAAATATAAATTCAGACATTTATGGAGTCAAAGGTATATCTAATTATTATTCTTATTAGAAGCCATAACCATCAAGGATGAGATAATCCAGGTCATCAAAATATGATGTTATGGGTTTACGGCTTGATTTCTGAATAATTCATATATTTGGAAAGCTAATTTTCAGCACACTTAGCTAACATTTCAGATGCGTTAGGTAATGGGAATTATCATAAAATATCAGTCATTAAAATTAATAGATTGATAAACTTAAAGATCAATTTGTTTCGACTGAGTATCTAATACATGTAATGATTAATAAGAGCATGGTAAACCCATTACAATATAAATTTAGTTGAAAATTTTAGAAAGTTTAATTCAATGGAAAAATATATAAGTAAATGTAAAGTATGGAAGAAAACAATAAATTATAAACCAATAATTTGAATTTATTCATAGTATGAATTTATGAAAAAATGAAATTGAATTTATATTTTCTGGACTAATATTTCCATTAAAAAAAATCTGTATCAGAATCGTAATCCCAGTGTTACGCCAAAATGAAATGAAAGCTGATAATGACATTTGTGGTATTGGCATGGGATTTCTTTACAATATATTCTTACATTGGGCTTAGTAGAAAGAACAATGAAACAAGAAACATTTCGAAAAAGAGTACTAAATGTAATAAATATAATAAAAATATGAGGCTTATGAAGGAGAATAAGTAGACGCCATCGCTCTTTTACCATAAGAGGAGACGTGATGGAAAAGTTGAAAGAAAAATGATTTATATGATACGAAAAAACTCCATTGGCATGATTCGGAAGAAATTGATGGGAGAGGTTTTTCTGATTTTTTGAGAGATATATTAGAGAATAAAGCGAGGTTTCAATATGTTCTTAATATTTTGCATAAAATATAAAATTGAACGCTCTGGTTCTCTATGTAATTGTACAACCAAAAGTTTTTATTTATTTTTTAAGGGCAGTTGTGTATGATATTTGTTATGAACTATCATAAATTTGGGTTAATTGTTTATTTCGGTTTTCACTGCCAATAGTAAATTTTAAAAAAAATTTACGGTTTTTTACAATCGTGTTTAAAATATGATTTATGAAACGATTTACTATCATTTTTGGAAATTTTACTACTAATCTCAGAGATATGAAAGTAATATAAACGTGATTTCTTTGAATAAATTTGATTTGAATCAATCACTGCTTTTCAATAGCGTTTTTAGACTGATGGAGATTTTCCAATAATATTGCATTCTGCTTGCATAAATTCTTCTTTTTTGAAGAGTTTGCATATTATCACTTTAGAAAATTGCATCGGAAGAAATATTTATCTGAAGTATTATGAATGTATAAAAAACTGAATAAATTCCAAACGGATTTTGTCTAGGAAAGTTTAAATGAGAACGAAAGCCGAAGGTAATATATTATATATTATTTAATGTGAATAATATTTATGATTTATATAAGAAGTAAAATTGTTTTTGAGTTCACGAAATATATGCATCCTCCCAATGATTTATCGTGATATTTAGAAATTTTGAAAACAAACTTTCAACATATCATCACATAATAGTAGTTTTGCTTTAATTTTCCATAATTATGACGTATCTATCTGTTTCCATTTAATGAAACATTTAACTTTTATTTTCATACTTATATTGCGTATTTGTATAATAAGCATTACCTGTACCACAAAATTTGATAAATATAGGTTATAACAAAATACAATATATTTTAATATTTTTTTCTGAAAAGTTATGACAAAACGTATTCATGCTTTTGTCATATCATGACATCAAGATAATTTTGTTTTACTTTAATAAAAAACCACAAGCCTTGAAGGCATAAAAATAATCTGTTTAGGATACGGAAGTTTTTAATATATGAAATTCAAGAGGATGTTGATATATTGAAATAAAAGGTTCTTATTGCTATCGCTAAAATAATTCAGATTTTTATTTTCTGAATTTTTCCATAGTTCTTTTATTTTTGTTAGTATATTATATACAAACTTTCATATTCATTAAATCATACATTATTTTATAATTATCTAATTAATGAATTTTTGCAAACAATACTAAACTGTACTGTATGTTGTGTTCAATTTTGACAATATAAGGATTTCACTTCAAAGTTTAATTATTTTTCATCAAACTTATTAACATATTATACATATTATTATAATAAATAATATTGATTTATATATGATATATTAACTTCAATATTGCTTTGTTAAATATCAATCTATAGCAAAAATTTTGCAGATCCGAATAATATATACCACAAATCTCATAAATCAAAACTGATATTTCGGTTACGCCTTTAGGAAAATTTTTGTATCTTGCCTTCTGAGCAATTTTTAATATGATTTATGTCTGTGATATCATACAAAAAGCAAGAAATCCATGTCACATATTTTCACAAAACTTTGTAACTATAAAATGGAAACATTTTTCATTGTGCATATGAAAATATACATATGCTGCTTATATTGTATTTAAATAAATATTTTCTATTAATAGCAAAATTTCATAAAGCAACGTACATTGAGATGCACTATATGAAAATATATTTTATTCACTATCTAAAAGGTTTCTCTTTGAAAGACTTACGTTGCAAGTTAGTCATTCATATATCTACATAAATATTGTTTCTATAATATTTTTGAATTTCTTTGCTCTAAGGGGCTCTATTGCTTCCAAATTAATGACAAACAATTTTATGAGAGTCTTACATCTTAATTTTCACTTTAAGATAATCCGCACTCCAACCAAAGTTTCATATGGAAATAACATAGGCAAAATTCCATTTGTTGTTTAAAATTTCACAACTTAGTGTCAAGTAAATCAAAATTTTGAGAATAACATTGTATTCGCTTATTTTGATTACAAATAAAAAAGTTACAAAAAAATTGATATATTTCATATATTAGGTATTTACAAAAATAGAAGAACCAAAAAACTTTGGTTGGAGTGCAGGCTATCTTAAAGTTAATATTAGGAACTAAAACTTTCAGAGAATTATTTTTTATCAATTTGTAAGCATTTGAGCCCCTGGGAGCTAGGAAATTCAGAAACATCCATATTAAGGATCACCCTAAATATAATACATATATTCGTAAACGTCTTTTGGTTTATCATATTACATTTGTCTGAATTGTACTAACACCTTTCATCATAAATTATCCTTACAACTACTATCATCTATCCCTCCAAATTAATTTTCGCAATGTAGGCTAGTGCGAATGAAACTTGCCTAATTTTTATATCCGGGTTCTGTTTTATATCAAAAATGTTTTATTGCCCCCCGGTTTA